TGAGGCTGACCCCAGAGCCTTTACGGGGCAATCTACTGGCACTTTCTGAAGGACAAGGGCGCTTCGGGGCTGTTGGCGTTAGGTGCAGGCTTCAATTCATAGTGGCTCTGGGTGGCCCGATAGCCTGCCCCATTCTCACAAGGGCAGCTATGTTTGTAGACAGCCCATTGCTGTAACCCGGGTGTCAGTCCACCTCACTGAGGGCCTTCTAGATTTTCACTGACCCTCCCTCTACCTTACGAAGCATGGTGTCCCTTTCTAGGCCTGTACCTCCCGAGGCGTGTCTCCAAAGTACGTGAGATGAAGTCTCACCACCTCACTTGTAGAGAACATTCCAGGTATGCTTCTAACAAGGCAGACTTGTCCGTTCTTCTGGCACTCTAGGGTCCATGGGGAAGCCGGTATTTGGATAAGGCTATTTAAATACCTAGACTGTGCAACACGCTGACCCATCAAGGTGGCGGAGTCACAAGGAACCCTCAGGTGTTGGCCCGGGCTTGCTATGCTGCTGGCTCATTTCCCCAAATCTTGCCCTCAACTCCTCCCAAGAGAGCACAGAAAGGGAGGGGGGAGAACACAAAAACAAAGGACCGCAGTAAGAATCCACGCTGGGTTGTGTAAAGAAAGATAGGGGTGAGTGCTGAGGGCCTGCTGAAGCACAAGCCCTTTCTGTGGGAGGAAGCTCCCTCAGCAGGAGGCTTTCCCTCTTGGGGTGCAGGGTGGAAGGTGGGAGGGGACGCTGTTCACATCTACAATGTGAGGGCAGCAGGGATTCAAACCCAGCACAGGGGGAAAGCTGGGCATGTGAAGAGTTGCTTCTGGTTCATAAGCAAGCCCCAAATCTGTTTGCACACTGTCAATCTCCCCAGCAAAGCTGGGTGTTCTGGTTCCTAATCCTGGGACCGTTTTGTTTTTGCCTTCGTTTTTTCCCATGCCTTGTTCATGATCCAGCTCCCAACTTCCTAAATTCCTCACTGTCTCCCTCTAAGGATCTGGGTGTGTTAGGGTTACTACTTAACACAACAGACCTCTGCCCTACCCCAGACACAGGAACCTCACCAGAAAAAGAACCAGCCATCCACAGGAGGGACAATCCCACCTCCTCACTCAGGGACAGGGAAGTGTATTCAGGGTCCAAAAAAAAAAACCCACCCCAAAACACAGACTGGTGCAGAGGAGCAATTCTGCCTGCAGGTCCATTTCGAAGACAGGAGACACCTGCTTCCCCTCGGAAGAGTCTGGAGGGAAGCCCGCCCGCTCGGTGTCTCACCCTCTGCCCACTGGGGTGAAGCACGGGTTCTGTCCAGCGGTATGGAAAGTCGACACTGGTCTTTCTTTCCCCCCCCTATTTTGCACGCGTTGGCCCTGTTTGTGGAGAGGCTATTTTTAAACTCAAATAAATATTACTGCACATGTTCCTGTCATTTGAACACACACACATCTCCTTTGCTTCACAAGTCTATGAGGAGCAGGGTCAGAAAAAAAGAAAAAGAAAGAAGAAAGGGGAAAAATGAAATAAATTGTGGTTTCCTTATCAACTTACACTAGTTTCAGATCTGCTTTCTTATATTCCTACACAGTGGCCCGGACCTTTTCCTTTTATATGGGGACACCCCGCCCCAAATAATTATTTAAAGCAATCTATCTCTCCTTATTGTTTCTTTCCTTCTTTGAATTCCTAAAGGTGGCTCAAGAGGAAGCTAAAAATAAAGTCACTGCTGGCGGTGGTTTTGAACTGCTGAGCCCGCAGGCGCAGCCCGCTCACAACCACCAGAGCTCCTTAAAGGCAGTTACTTACTGTTCCAGTGGCCTGGTCTTGGCACAAGGATCAGAGAGTCAGACTCAGGTCTCTGCCCTCAGCCTGCAGTGCCCCCCACCCAACAGCTGTGGCTCCCTCCTCCGTGGGGATCGTTTGACCACCTAATTCAAAATGACTGGTCACTTTCAAGAAGCGCTTCAGACTTAGCAGGCTGGTCTAACAACACGAAGGAGAAACTCAACGAAGCGTACTAAAAGGTGAGTTTAAGAAGAAACGATAATTCAGTGAGGTTTGTTTTATTTTTTAATTGTTTGTTTTTAAGAAAATCCTACAGATTGAGAAAAGGTGCTAAAGTTACCTAAAGGAACAAAACGCTGCTGTGCACACACCATTGCTAGAATTACATTTTCAACAAACACCCCCCCCCCCCAATTAAGTACACCCTCTTCTCCAGCCTACCCCCACTGCCCCAGCTGCTAGGTCTGCTTGCTGAAAACGCCCTCGTAGGTTGTGAGCGTGCTCGGGAAGGCATGTCCAAAAATTCCCTGCGGATCCTATCAGCAAAAGACCCAAACCAGAAGGAGGATCCTTTGCACATATTTTTACTCTATCGGTGGCGTGATTCTTTTGCAATGAGGGCCGGGGTGGGGCCGTGGGGAAGACAAGGAGTTGTGGGGGATAGTGACTGGTACCCAACAAATGAGATGCTTGAAGTGAACGTGAATGCCTAAAAGCAGTCAAGACTTATATGAGAATCGCTGGCATACAGGAAGCCAGAGCATCAGAGTAGGCGATTCTCCCCAAGTCTGACTCGCACTTCTGGTTCCCTGCTCCAGAGCTCCCCAGAGATGAGAATTAGGCTGTTAGGAGGGGGATTCAAAAGGTTCATGGAAAAAGAGAATGAAAAGACAATGGGAATTTTACACAAACTTTCTGGAAGACTCTTCGTATTGAACAAATGACTTTGTGCCAACAAGCAGACACTTTCACTGTTCCCAACATCCGTCTGCATCTAAGTTCTCATCTGCCATCTCATTCAGAATCCAGTCCAAGGCACCCGCCTTAGCGATGCTCTAGCACGCCCTCTGCAGACCCCATGGTGGCATCAGAGAGCGTGCTACCCCCATCTGACCCCACCTGGACAACTTCTCTTCCCCCTCCCCCACTTTCCTATCCGTCTATAGGACAGTGCTGACCGCATGAAGGTGAGCACCTGGCATCACTGAGCACGGTAACATGAGAGCGATCTCAAATTCAGATGCTTAAGCCCCTTATTTTAGGCAGTCATTTCAGTAGCTATTCCTGTTGCTGCCATTACGTCGGTTGGACTCACAGTGACCCAATGTACGGCAGAACAAAACCCTGCCTGGTCCTGTGCCTATGTCTGAGCCCCTGGCTACAGCCCCTGTCTGAATCTTGTCAAGGGCCTTCCTCTTTCTGCTGCCCCATCACTCCTAAGGCGCACTGCATTCTGGGTTACCTTTGTTTCCATCAGCACAGGGAAATAACCAGGAAGTCAACAGCCAGGTACTGAAACTATGAGTGACTTTAATTTTACTTTTCACTTGATGTGCAGTTTTAAAGTGTCCAGTTATAGCACTTGTATAACTACTTTAGTGGTTTTATATGAAGGTGGGACTTAAAAAAATCACCTTCTGAGTGCCCCCACAATTTGCATGGAGTAAGAATGAGGCATTTTATCAAGTTATTGCTAACTGTCTGAAATCTACTCTTGCCAACTGGTCTTTTCCTAGGGATAGCAATGCCACGGCCCCTCTGGTGGAAGAGAAACAGCAGAAGCTTGCTCAGCTCTGTGAGGGAACATTAGACCCTACTCACCCACTGCATGCCTTTGCTTTCTGAATAAGCAAGGTGCAACTTTCCTCAGCAGTAATGCAGGCACTCTAATTTTATATTTTGGCATGAATGAGACTGGCTTACCTTTCACACGTTTTAAGAGTCTCAAATAAATGAGTCCAAGAGACTATCTGAAACAACAAGGAGTGGAAAAGCAACTAAACAACAAAAAGCTACTAGGCCCTAGTATGGTTTGGAAGGGCACCGGTCTCCTCTCCTCCTGGTGCGAATGAGCCCAGGGCAGAGCAGAAGGCCTTTCACCTTTCCATCTGCCACGAGGCACCTGGGGTGACGGCACTTGTCGCGGAAAGCCAGGCACACTGAGCATTCATCCTGACGTGGGTTGGGAGGGGAGAGCCAGGGCTCTAAAGCAAAGGCCAGGTGAAGAAGCAAAACACCACTGAGAACATGGATCCTTCAACTTTTCAACCCTTCACATATGTTACTAACCTTGGAGAGAGAGAGAGGGGAGTGAAGAATCTTTTTGAAGGAGTTTCAGTGGTGAACCCATTGAATGGTGCAACCATTCACGTGGCGGTGAAGTGCGCAGCTGCTCAGGTTGTTCCCCGGAGGAGAGCTGCTTCTGGGAAGAGGCAGGGCCTTGACAGCCCTGCGGGGCAGCTCTGATCTGTTACATAAGGTCACTGAGGAACCAGGAACCAAGCCGAGGGCAATGGGTTTCCTTCGGCTTATGCCATTTCACCTACTGCGCTGTCATTGTGAAAGATATTGTCTGGCCTAATTTGGGGAGTACGTGAGCACCACTTTTGGTTTTCCCAAGTCACGCACAACCATGGCACCCCACAACCCAACATTAGAAGCCTCTGAGATGCTCCTGTTTGGTTGCCTCCTACTCTAATTCTTTGGTCATGTTTTTCAGGTGAGTTCCTGGGTTTTGCCATATCCTGTAGGAAAGCTGAGTCCCTTTCAACAGGTAAGAGATGTAGATATGCCAAAAGAGGAATCTTCCTATCTAAAGTATTTGGTTAATAACTCTCTTCCCTGCTGGAGTCAACCCCTGTACAAGAAAGGTCATTATATCTGCCTCTTTTCCTCTCAGAATCCTCTGGGTACTACCAGAGTGCCTAGGAACAAAAAAGAAACTCACTGTCCTTTCTGGAATGAACCTCAGGGAGACTGGGTAGCCTCCAATCTCACTTCACTTGTCCCTCTGCCACGACACTTCACCTCGGTGTCCCTCTGTCCTACCTCCAGTTGGACTTCCACCTCCATTGATTCTTGTCAACCACTCTGCTCACATAGTAGCCGCTCAAACTGTGACCGACTGTGACGACGATGCTGATCAATACCACTCCCAGTGGCCCTTTAGGAGTCCGGGGAAATGAGGAGGAAGCACCCACCGCAGGGCAGCCCCTCCACTTACCGCCACTTCCACCGACTGCATGGAGAGGTCGCATGGCGGCTTCAGGGCCTTGGGTCTCGTGGCGTACCAAAACGTGGTGAGTGCCGCGAACGCCCCAAAGCCCATAAGCGTGTTGGTGGGGAGCGTGCGGATGTACTGTCGGAAGTCAACGAGCTCCGGCATTCGAAAATACCCGAACAACTCGTGGGCCTGCATCGTCCCGTGTTGGCGGTTCTCTAAGGAGAGTTCTGTTGGGAGAGAAAAATGATACATTCATTCCAGGGAGGGCTGGCTCTCCTGCAGCATTCCTAAAGGGCAGCCACGGCAGCTGGAGGGCCGGCCGTGCAAGCCAGGCTTTAATCCTATAGTCTGGTGGCTAAGGTCTTTTGCTTGCCGTCAAATGTCATTTTTGCCTAAACGTATGCTAGAAATTCATTTAAGTTCCAGTTCTCTTTTGTGTCGTGTAAGGTTTTCCTTGCCCACATTAAAAAAAGACTACACACAAAGAATTATTTCCCTAAAATGCAAGTGGCATCAATTTCTATTTTCGTCACTGAGAATCTCTCTGCTTCCTCCCACCCAGTCAAGTACACTCAACTCTCATGAATACGGCTAGAGAGGATGAGCGTGAAGAGGAACATACAGGCCTCAATCCTCAGAGCCTCTATTTCTCTTCCTTCAACAAGATCGCCAACTGGTCAAGTCGTCCCTCAACTCCCCCTGACTCTTCACATCCCCTAATCAATAACATCAAATGGTTAAGAATCCCACAGATGGTTATTATATTAAAATCAATTTCTTTTACACTCTTACAGAGCAAAAGAAAGAGAAAAATCAGTATACACAAATTTTAAGCAATTACCCAATATCAGAGATTACAAGCACACTACTGGAGAGAAGGCATTCAATAGTATTTAAGATACTAAATTCTAGGACCACATCCTGCTTCTCCAGCTTATGAGCTGTATGATTTGTTGCACATTACTTCAGTAATTTGTGCTTCCGCCTCCTCAACTATAAACAAAGCTGAAAATCATATCTCGCAGGGCTTTCATGAGGACTAAATGATTCACATGAAAGCTTCTTAAATGTGTGTATGGACTGTGATAAGAGCTGTATGAGCCCCCAATAAAATGATTATAAAAAAAGTTTCGAATGGTGTCAACTACCAGAAAGTGCTTAAGTTAAAAAAAGAACGTAGGTACAGGAGTTAGCAACAAAATTCAGAACCCAAAATACCCAGAAGAAAACAGAGAAACCATCCAATATATAGGATAACCCCACACTGATTGTTATTACAATCTGCACATAATAAAAACGTGCAGTTCCGTTAATAAACAATACGCCTAATTAGAAAATCGTTGAATAGCTGTTCCCTACAGTTTGTTTGGCCACACAGTAAAGAATCTGAAAAGCACTTCTCAAAAACTCCTGACAAGGCGATAATTGTTAATATGTCAATGTTGAGTTCCTGTGATCTTGGTGAGCTTCTTACAACAGCATGCTCTTTTTTTTAACAGCTAGGTTACAAGAATGATAATCTGTTTCTATTTTCAAATGTAGAAATCAATTTAAATTTAAGTCTACAATATTATATTATTTCACAGTAGCATAATAACAAACTGCCTTTAATGGCCATCAGTACTGTAGAAGCCCACATAATTTGTGTTGCTTCAGCTCATTCAATTTTATGCTATAATGGCTCTTGTGTCAAAACACACACACACACACACACACACACACACACACACACACACACACACAGCAAGAGAGGAAATTACAAGGCTTTAACATGACAACCAGAAAGGAATAGATAAGCAAATTTCTTCAGGTCATCCTGCTGGAGAGAAAGTGCCAGCACTTATAAAACTACTCACCATCTGTGACTGCTGGGTGACACACTACTGCAGAAACAGAAGACGGAGCAGGCAGGGGTGGAGTGGGATCGGGGAGGGTGGGGCGGGGTGGAGTGGGTGGGGGTTGGCAGAGCTCAGCCAGCCTGCCAAGGTCTCGCAGGGCATTAGTCACATGCCGAGTTCTATGATGCTGCCCACTGGGCTAAAGGTAACTAGCAGACAAAATCTATACTGGACTTCCCAGCAGAACAGGGGGTAGAGGATAGGCCAATGAGGAGCTGGGAGTGGAGTCACCCCACTGCTCCACCCATGGGCAGGGACAGGCATCAGTTAGTGTCCCTTGCCAGCGCCAGTTCTGAAAGCAGACACTGTTTTCTTTCTGCGCAGCTTCTCAATAAGTAGACACAATGGGCATAGTTTTTTAAACCATGGAAATGAATGATCAGATGTTGGGTGGAATGTCTAACCAACATAAGTCATAACAACCGAGAAACAGCTTGCTAAGAGAATGTCACACAACAGATTTATTCTAGAGGAATGCACAGGAATTGAGCTCGTCCAGTCATTTAACACACTCGAGTGACTAGTGTGTGCCAGGCTCTCAGTCGGGAGAAACCATGATGACGATGCAGCCCAGGCAAACCGGCCAGTGGGGAGGATACAGAATTAAATGAGGACGAACTGCGAGGAAGGGTACGGATCACTGCTCTAAGTTCCACCGTCAGGGAAGGCGCCTCTGAAGGTGGGATGCTTCCACCCAGACATTGAGGATATGGAGACCGATCAAGTCCAGGCCCCGCACTGCACTGCCAGATCCCACCAACAGTGCTGCAGGCACCCTGGTGGCATGGTGGTGAAAGCACTAACCACAGTGCTAGCTTGAACTTTCCACAGGAAAAAAGTCCTGGCGATCTGTTGCCATAAAGACTGCAGCCTCGCAAACGCCATGGGCACTTCTACTCTGACTCACTATGTGCCTGAACTTGATGGGCACACAGCCACAGCACGACACTGCGGCTCTACCCACGCCCAGCAAAGCCCGCGCGCAGTGTACAAAGTCTGCTTCCCTGCACATCATGCCATCTCTTACCACCCCGCAGCACTCCAGGTCTGCACAGATCCCCACCCTCCCACAGGGGTGCAAGAGGAAACCCCGTCTCACGGATTAGGGGCATGCTGTATGAGGGGACGAGTCCCTGGAAAAGGACAGCATGCTTGGCCAGTGGAGGGGCAGTGAAAAAGGAGGCCCTTGGCAAGATGGACCGACAGTGTGACAGCAGCAATGGGCACAAAGGTCACACTAACCGCAGGGATGGTGCTGGGCTGGGCAGCGTCTCCTTCTGTGGCACACGGGGTCACTAAGGGTCAGAGTGGACTGGCTAGCACCTAATACCCATCTCCACAAACACTCATGCCCTTCCTACTTCCTCCCCAAAGTCACTGAAGTCATTCTCACAAAGCCCAGATTGTGCAACTTTAGAATTCACAAGGATTTGTTCACTAGAATCACGTCCCTCTGTGAGAACTTTAAATAGGTGTTCTTCGGCGTACTTCCCCGAGCAAACAGCCTAAGCAGGTGACCATTTTGTTTGGCTGTATACTACACGCTAGCAGTAGCTAAGTTATAGACAGCATTATAATCAGCAAGCTTACTAATAAGGGTAGAGAAGAAAACACATTCTATTTTTAAAAAATCCTTCGGAAAATGAGAGTTTGAAAAGCACACATGGAAGAGCATTTTATTAGCTACCAAACTGTAACACTGTGGTTCTCTCTAGTGGGTGAGCAGCTAATCCACCCACACCTCCTGCAGACCTATTTCACTGAAAAAACAAAACCAAAAGGCCGCATGTACACACGTGCGGGACACAGGAACACTATAGTCTGCTTTCCAAAAGGCAAGAAAACACTCCGACAAGGATGTCTCATTTAGGCTGAGATCAAGAGCAACTCTTAATCATGCAACTCACAACCTAAGTGTTGTCCCTGCTATTCACTGCTTTTAAGAGCAAAGGCACTTGGGATATTTAAAAATGGAGGTAAACCCACATTCACAGACAGATCCACTCAATGACCGCTAGATGCTGCAGAAACCGGAGACCACGCTTCTCTTGAGAACCGGTCCTAGCAGGCGTCCGATGAGGCTCCAGACCCACCGACGCAAGGCTGGAACACAGAGATTTTATCCTGATTCCAGGGATGTTTCACTTGGAGTCATTTTCCTTCTCTTCTTTCAACAGCAGATTTCCACATCAGCATCTCGGGACATTTATAACCCAAGCATATAAATCATACTGCTGTTTGCTAAGAATATGATTCAATCGGCTTAAAGGCTTAAGCAGCCAGGATTTCTCTGTGGGGAGCACACAAGACTTAATGAGAGCGGGCACCTCCTGGCTGGACAGCCTTCCTGGGCAGCCGTGTCTAGCCGCCCGGGTCCTCTGAATGTCCTATCAAAGTTTAAAATCAGGATGACAGACAGCGTAGCAATGGTCAGGGAAACTGGCCGAAGCCCAGTGTAAAGCAAGCAGGATGCCTTTAAATAGCCCAGGGCAGAAATAGAAGAGGGGCCAGCAGACAAATAAGAAGTGCACTGCCTGGCTGTCAGAGAGCCAAAGGCTGGTACCTGTCTGCCCGGACACTGGGCCGAACAGCTGACGTCGACATGAGCAGGTTCAGTGAGGAGAGGGTTTCCAGCCTGTGTGACGGCAAACACGAGCTCTTTCCAGAGGAGGACACCAAGATCAGCACGTCTAAAGCTTGCCTAGAGGGCCCTCGGCACAGGGGTGCCACCTGACACACTCTCTCTCTCTCTCTCTCTCCATGCTTTTTGTTGCATACAAACCATTCCTCGTTCCCGTCAGGCATGGACACTGTCATTATTTGCACAGGGGCCCCACAAATCCCCTTCGGTCCAGTCCAGGTCAGGGATCCTCAGACCGGGTGGTTCCTAAGGGTTCTTGCAGCACCGTATGCCGCGGCGTTAGGAGAGCCCAGCATCAGCACTCAGTGTCTGAGGAGCTAACACACCGCCCTGGCTGCCGTCCAGTCCGCCCAGACTCACGGCCACCCTGTGTGTGTCAGAGTAGAAACTGGGCTCCGTGGGGTTTTCACAACTAGATCGCCAACCCTTCCTTCGGGGTGGGCTCAAAACCTCCAACCTTTCGGTGGCAGCCAAGCGCGTTACCTGAGCATTAACAGAGCACATACCCATCCAGGGGTGTGGTCTTTCCTCTATCACGCTGACTCCTGAGCCTGTCCGAGTTCCAGGCCCACTGTAGATAAAGGTTTCCTCTCTCAGCACTGTTTGAACCATACAAATAAAAGGTGACTCAGGCCCAGAGGTGATCCATGAGGACACCGCGTACACCCCTCCTCCAAGTCTGCAAACT